ATTCAAAGCTATCCCAGAGCAGGAAGTGAATCCTAGAGATCCAGAAAATTAAGTTCTAGGGGATGTCAGAAGAACCCTTGATGATGTTGATAAGTAGTAAAGAATTAGATTAAACCCACAGTTGACTAAAATTGCAAGCTTTAGAAAAATAGAGAGCCCAAAAAACAGCTTGACATTCAGCCCCAGGAGGATCCACAGCCAAAACCGGAGACTGGAAATATAAAATTCACTTCCCTTTTTGATTCCTGAAGACACCACCAATACCTACATATTGTGGAGTATAACTGCCATCAGTGTTGACCTTTATCCATCCATTATGAGGGAGAGACCAGCATATCTTGTGAACTTTAGTGATAAGAGGTTTGGAAGAGGGGGTCAGCTCTAATACAACACTAAAATTTTTAAATTTAATCAGTTTTTGAAGATAAGCTATGCAGTTCAGACCGACTTTCAGGGCATCTAAGGGAGTATCTTCATATTTCAATTGATTTCTAACCATCCAAACAAACCAAGCCACAATAGTAGGGATATCTTGAAGTTTAGCACCCCTCCAATCAGACCAGCAATTATAGAAAACATCCATGAAAAATTCATGGCAGGAACATTAAGCTTTGCTAGAATAAAATTCCAAACTTGTTGTACCCAAGGACAGGCAAAGAAAAGGTGAGCAAAGGTCTCCTCCTCTGACAGACAAAAAGTACATCTAGAGGGACTTATAAGACCCTTCAATTTCAAGATATCATCAGTGGTAATCAGCTTAGAGAAGAGTCTCCAAATGAAGAAAAACATGGAAGGAGTGACAAACCTATTCTAAATCATATGTCCCCAATCCACCTCCTGTTGGAGAGGGGTAGGTTGGGAATGGTTCTTTTTAGTCACTATTCTATCCTTTTTCCATTGGATAATAGAGATTTCTGTATATTAGAGAGTTGAGAGGGGTTGCAGAATGGAAGGATAAGGTTCAGATTCTAATTTCCATTCTCCCATAAATCCTTAACTAACATGGGGGAGGCCGAGGCAATGTGGTCTTGAAGCAGGCTGCCTTCAAAAGACCAAATATCCCACCAAATTTTTACTAATCCTTCACCAATCTCCCAGACAAACATTTGCTCAGCTTCCTCCCTAACCTGTAGCATCTTTTTCTAAATAGGAGAGTCCCTAAAATCATTAGAAATATGACTAGGGTGCTGCTGTTTACAGTATTTACCCCTTAAGAATTCAGACCAAAGAGAGTCCTGGGATCTAAATTTAATCCAGAGCTTATAAAGGTTATTGTGCATTAATTGAGGGAAAAACTTAAAGCCTAAACCTCCTTCCTTTAAAGGTTTACAAACCTTAACCTAAGAGGTCTACTGTTTTTGTTTCCTTTGGCCAGCCCACAGGAATCTATTGAGCATTCCTTCCAATAATCTTTGAGTAGCCTTTGTCATAACATTCATTTGCAATAGATAAGATGGAATGGCAGATAAGACACTCTTCAGAAGGGTTATCCTACCCCCATTGGATAAATAAGTATTCTCCCAAGCCTGAAGTTTGCAATGAATATTCTCAAGGATATGGTCAAACTAAAATTTTTAGTTCTCCCCTTGATCAGAAACACTCCTAGTATTTCACAGAAAGGCAGCTGCTGGTAAAGTCAGATAAGTCTGAGACCCAATTCTTAAACTCACTCTTGCAATGTTTGCTGAAAAAAGAAATGCACTTCTGGACATTCAATTTCATTCCAAAAATATCTTGAAAATTCTCCAAGCACTGTATAAAGGCTTTAACAGCAAGTTTGGAGGCTTTGGAAAAGATAATAATATCATTAGCAAAAGACAAATGATTGATTACAATCAAAGATCTATGAGTATAAAGGGAGTGAGGTTTCCTAATAGCCATCTCATTCAAAGCTCTAGATAAGTAGTTAAAAACCAAAATAAAGATGGTTGGAGAGAGTGGATCACCTTGTTAATACCTCTGGATGCAATAAAGAAGCCATGTAAATTCCTATTAATAAAGGCATAATTAAAATTGTTAGCTAGCCATCTATTGATTAGAGAAACAAAAGAAAGAGTGAAACTTATGACAATGAGAACTTGTTCAATAAAGTTCCAACTAATTGTATCATAAGCTTTACTGATATCCAATTTAAGAATAATACTACCTCCTCTAGTGGTTCTGCCTAGATCCAATTCGAACTCTTGGGCTAATGGAACATTATCCACTTTGTTTCTGCCCTTGATAAAGCTGTCTGATTCCTGCAAATAATTTGATTCAGGTGAGGTTGTAATCTATGGACCAAGACCTTGCTGATAATAAGACCTTGCTGATCAAGACCTTGCTGATAATCTTTGAAATGACAGAAGTAAGGCTGATAGGTCTGAAATTTTCCCATTTATGAGAGTTTTTCCTTTGGAAACCAAAGTAGTAGTAGAGGAGGAGAAAACTTTAGGGAGATTAGCTCCCCAGAAAAAACTTTGGACTTTTGCAATAACATCTCCTTTCACAATCAACCAAGTTTTTTTGTAAAAATTAGTTGTGAACCCATCTGGTCCAACAACCTTAGAGCTATCAATAGAATTAAGTGCTTCCCAGATTTCATTCTCATCATGAACATCAGTGAGTGAAAGGCTTTGAGTGAACTCCCTTTTTTTTAGCAAAAAGAGTGCATTGAATGGAAGACTTGGGGATAGGAGGTTGCTTGAAAATTTCTTGAAAATACTGAACAACATTCAAAGCTATCCCAGCAGTAGATGTAATCAATTTTCCATCCTTGGTAGTGATTTTGTGAATAGTATTGCATTTCCTCCTATAGTTGATGCAGGCATGATAATACTTAGAATTTCTATCACCTTCACAGAATTTAATCCTATTAGACATTTGAGCATAGAACTCCTCTTGCATAGAGATGGCTTCCATAAATTGTTCATTAGCAGAACGTAGATCAGTTTCCGACCCAGATCCATTGACCAGGAGATGTTCAATATTCAGTACCTTCTTTTCAGCCTCCAGAACCTTGCTATCAATGTTCCCCACCACTTCCCAGTTCCACTTAGAGAGATGCTTACTGACTTATTTATGTAAAAGCCAGAGTTTGATACCAAGATTGCGATGGTGTACATCAGCCCATGCCAGGGAGACAAGATTTAAAAAATCACAATGCATGGACCACATATTCAGATATCTGAAGTTGGATTTATATTTAGCAGTGTTAGAAGATATATTAATAAGTAAGGGTCTATGGTCAAACCCACTCATAGCAAGATGTTGAACAGATGTATTGATAAAATCTCTAAACCAAATGTCATTTACCACTATTCTATCCAGCCTCTCCCATATCCTTCCCCATCTCCATGTGTACTTAGGACCAGTAAATCCCAAATAATAAAGCCCAGCATACTGGATATTATCATTGAATAAATTCATAAGATTGGTATCAGGAGATCTCCCACCCTTCTTCTCATTAGGTGAGGAGAGGCAGTTGAAATCACCCCCAATAAACCAGAAATCCCTCATAGAATTGCTGAAGTCATGCAACTGTTGCCATAGTAGCAGTGGAAGAGCACCCAGCATAGATAAAAGTGGCAAAGCCATTATAACTATTTAAATTAAGATTCACATGTGTAAATTGGTCCCCATCTTTCTTGACAGTACACAGAATTTCCTTCCTACAGAACATCTAAATTTTACAGTTAGTGTTAACAAGTAGTTGGAATCCAGAGAATTTCCTCACAAATTTGTTGATGTGTTTAGATATCGTAGGTTAAAGAATAGAAATGATCCAAGGTTTATACATCTTATTAAGTGTCAGCATTCTTTTAAGGGATCTAGGATGTGCTAATCCCCTAGCATTCCAACAGATAAAATTCATCATCCAATTGAAGTGGACTTTCCCCTCCTCCTAGTCCTAACTGTACTAGTGGGGAGGGTGAGGTCTTCCTCCATAGAAGAAGAGGAAGGAAGGAGATTCCTTAATTCCCAGGGAATTTTCTTCTTTTTTGACTTCTGAACTTGCCAACCCTCTTCTAAATCTTTTTCCATATGCAATAGCAAAGGATTTTCCAAAGGAATATCAATAATAGTATCCCTAATTTCAACAGGAGGAGGTTGAACTATAGTACACTGTAATTGTTCAACTTTTGAACTTGAGGTGATGTTGGGGTAGAGTGAAGTTGCTCAACCTGAGGAAGTGGAATCGTTTGCATAGGATTATGAGGGTAACAACACTTTTAACAATACTATGAGATAACTCTTCCAACTCCTGTAAAGGAGCCACCTGAGTCCTTTACCCAGCAAATTCAGAATCATGGACTGCAGTTCTATCAACAGCTGGTATCTCAATTCCTTGGGCCACTTTTTCCTCAGGATTAGATCTGGTTAACCTTCTTTTGAGATTAGGATGAAGCCTAAAGCATTTCTCATCAGTATGGACACACATTCTGCAGTGGTGGTAATAATATGGCCTGTGTTCAACTATGATTATCTGCTAGTATCCATTATGCTCAGTACCCAACCAAATTTCCTCCACAGTTGATAATGTAATATCTCTTTCAATCAATATTCTAGCAACAGATGGTCTTGATAGATTAAAGGTGGGAGCATCCAACTTCAATGGTCTTCTCAAAGCGTTGCCAATATTGAAAAGAACTTTATGGTTGAAGAAGTGGAGTTTGAGGCCTAGTAACTTAAACCAAATGGGGACAATTGACAATTCCTTACTAGGTTTAAAATCAGGTGTTCACTTTAATAACTTCATTGAGATGCCTTCAATCAGTATGGACTATTTTGAGAATATTTTGGCATAGTTTTCTTCCCTTGTTAGGTTGATGAGTATGTGCCTCCCATTAAGAAGTCCCACTTTCCAAGCTCCTTTGAAGTTTAGTCCATCAAAGAATCTTCTCACAAATTCCATTCTAGAATGACCAAGTTGAAATTTGCCAATTAATGAGAATTTATAGCTTTCTGCAAGGCCATTGACATCCTCCTGAGTAAAAAAGATAGCCATCTTCCCACTTTTCTTACAAATAAGTTTGAAAAGAGGGTCATTTCCCTCATGATACTGTTGAGGGAAGACTAGGTCATTTGGGTTTTGGACATTTTCAAAGCCTTTCCCAACAAAGTCTGCAAATGTGGCCTTAGCCCACAGAATATTAGTGGCAAGGTCAATGGCATTTGGATCAGTCATCAAAGAAAACTAACCACAGAACAAGATTTGCCAAAGAGCCAAAAGTATAGGTGAAAAAAAAACAATTCAGAGCAAAAGAGAAACTATTTGGACAGTAGAGTAAGTAAAGGAACCAGTAAAGACAAACCCCAAGCTTAAAAAATAAAATCAAACAACAAACAGTGAAGCTAAGAAATGGAACAGTAATAATTTGAAAAGCAGATGCCCGGGAAGAGAGAAAGAGTTGGAGAAAAGTAGAACTTGAAGAAACCAGAGATGTAAGAAGAAAAATGCAGTAAATCTTGGGATAACAGCTGAGATTAGACCATTAGCAACATCTAGAAGAGCCTATATATATATATATATTTATATATATATTTGGTGGAGGGAGCATTATTCGGCACCTTTCATGTTGATCATTAAAAATAGAACAAAAGATTCCACTGGAAAGGTCCCCTAACTATAAACCAAAATACAAATGACACCAAGAGGGTGACCAATCCACAAAAGTATAACATACAAGAACATAGAAAAAAGTAAATAATGATAAAAAGAGAAGAGGAAGCCCAAAAATAACTAGAGATCTTTGAGTTGATTAGTCTTGATTCTTGGATGAGGATTCTCCAAATTATCTCCATGAAGTAGGAAAGCAACAGGGGTGGGGGGCCTTGTTGCAACAGAAATGGAGTTAGTATAAAGGCCATGTCTGACAAGCCAATTAGCAGGTTGGTTTCCTTCTCGGCAGATGAAAGACATATTGACTTTAAATAGCTTGTTGAGTTTGCCAATTTTCTGTTTATAATGTATATGATGCCAACAGGACAGTTGTTTAGTGTTGGAGAAAGTAATCAGTTGAATGGAGTCCTCCTCAATCTACATTTTATACCATGCAGCTTTCAGTGCAAAGGTAAGGGCCCAGTAAATAGCAATAAGCCAGCTTCCAGAGCATCATGGGCCTTAGTAGGAGCATGAAAGAACAATAAGCATTTGTTGGAGGAATCTCTGAAACCCCCCCCACCCCACCCGAGCACCCCATTCAGAAAAGCTACCATCAGTATTAATCTTTATGGTATGTTGATCAGGGGGTTGCCAAATAACTTTCTCAATCTTGTTATGACTTCTTGTTATGACTTTGGTTACAGTAGTCTGAGGCAAACTGATATTAGGGAAGTTGTTAAGTTGAATCAGCTTATTTATGTAGGAAGCACAGTTTCTAGTAACCTTGGAATGATGAATAGGATTGTCTTCATGTTTTCTTCTTTTTCTGCACATCCACAAGAACCAGGCCACAATAAAAGGGATAGAATCACCTTCCTTACTTTTCCAGCTGTGCCATCCATCTTTGAGATTGGGCTAGTCCTTATCCAATCCCTCAACTTTAATCTTTATGAGAAGTGCCTTAGACACCTCTTGAGCAAACTCACAGTTAAAGAAGAGGTGGCCGATGTCCTCTTCAAATCTCTAGTAAAAATAGCATCTAGAAGGCACTCTCAAACCCTTATGTTTAAGAATATCATCACTTGACAGCAGATTGTTGAAGAACCTCCAATAAAAGAATGATATAGAAGGGGATATATATCTGTTCCAAATGGCTTCACCCCTAGGGACTTGATCCCAATAGTAAAGTTTGGCATAGATGGCCTTAGTCAAACTTTGGTTAGCATAGCTATGCCAGATAATTTTATCTTTCCTACCCTTATAAAAAACAATCTTAGTAACTTGAGATAGGTGGAGCTCCTGTAGAATGTATTGGAGCTTAGTAACAGACCAGGAGTCCCCCTCCCAAAGATCACAACCTGAAAGGTGAGGGGTGAAATTAGAGGGGGGAGCCCCTAGCCAGTCTTTAGGACACCAATGGTCAAGCCAAAAGTTCACTTGACTATTCCCCAAATCTTAAATGTACATTTCTTCAACAAGGTGTCTAATTTTAAGCAAGTTAGTCCAAATTCTAGGGTCCTCCAACTTTCTGGAGATGAGAGATGGGTGCTGTCCCTTGCAGTATGTTCCTTTCATGAACTTAACCCATAGGGAAGTTTGGGCTCTGAAATTGATCCACATCTTACAGAAAATAATCTGTGTGATTTGTTGAAGTCCGTTGAACCCCATCCCACCGGCCATGTTAGGTTTAGTTGCCTTTTGCCAAGAAGCCTAGTGGAGCTGCTGCCTTTGACCTGCCCACAAGAATATATTAAAGACTCTTTCCAACTGAATTTAAATGCTTTTCTTCATATAATTGGTTTGGAGAATATATGAGGGGAAGGTAGTTAAGGTACTTCTGATAGAGTAATTCTACCACCATTGAATGGGACCAGCTAGATAAGGTTTTCTGAATTTCTGGAAAATGAAAAACCTCATCAATTTGGGTCAGCTTAGATCTCTCCAAAGTGAGATGAACCCCCAAATATTTTAAAGTGTCTTTAGCAATGGCAAAACCAGTATATTTGGAGACCCAATGTTTGCAATTGGAAGATGCCCTCTTGTTAAAGATAAGTTAGCATTTAGTAGGGCAACACTCCATCCCAGAGTAATTTTGAAATTGTTTCAGACAATGGTAGACTTTTTAACTGCATTTTTATGAACATTAGAGAATATCATAATATCATCAGCATACATGAGGTGGGAGATAGCCATAGTGGATTTGTGATGAAATCTGAAATATTGTTGGTTGAGGATGACCCTGTCTAGCATTCTAGAGAAGTAATCCAAAGCAATAATAAAGATAGTGGGGGAGAGTGGGTCACCTTGTTTGAGCCCTCTGGTAGCTGTGAAAGAACCCAAGGCTTTGCCATTGATAAGAATAGAATGCTTGTTATTAATGAGCCACCCGTGGATGAGTTTACAGAAATCAGGTTGAAAACCTCTGACAGTAAGAATCCCCAAAATAAATTTCCAATCAATGGTGTCATAAGCTTTTTTATTATCTAGTTTATAGATAAGATTACGCCCTACTAATTTTATCCAAATTCAGAATGAGTTCTTGTTCCAGCAACACATTATCAGTGACAGATCTCCCTTTAATGAATGCAGTATGGTTTGGTCATATAATCTTGTCAAGGTGAAGTTGGAGTCTTCTTACTATGATCTTGCTGATGAGTTTACTTATGACAGAAGTAAGGCTGATAGGCCTGTAGTGTTCCCAAGTCTTCTGCAGATCTCCTTTGGGACTTAGCACAATAGAAGTATCTCTAAAATAGCTTGGGAGATTGACCCCCCTGAAGAAACTCTTGATAGCCTCAATTACCTCTTTTTTAACAATGTGCCAAGATTTTTTATAAAATTCAGTAGTAAAACCATCAGGGCCAGTAGATTTGGAGCTGTCAATGGTGTTTAAGGCATCCCAAATTTCATCATCAAAAGGGGGTTCAGTGAGTTTGAGCTGATTAGTGTAATATAATTCTTCAGTAAAATAGTTTTCATTATCAATATTTAG